TGGGGGTCGTATGGAGGCCTGCCCAAGGTACCTACTAAGAAAACAACTCGATAGGTTGGACAAACTTGGTTACGTCTTTAAATCTGCATTCGAAGTTGAGTTCACGGCCTACAACAAGTCAACCAACAAGCCCGTCTTCCCCGGTGTCGACGCTGGCTCCACACTCGTCTTCTCCCAGTTCGAAGATTACTTGCTAACACTGGACGAGAACTTGCAGCAGATTGGTATAGATGCGAGCAGCATAGTTGTTGAACACGGCGAAGGTCAGTTCGAGTTTGCGTTGGAGCCATCTGACGGCATCAAATCAGCCGACTCTCTCTTCAGAGCCAAGCATGCAATTAAAGAAATCAGTCATCAGTTCGGCTACCAAGCCACTTTCATGTCAAAGCCGACGAAGGATGCTTCTCCAAATGGCCTGCATCTGAACGTGTCTCTCTGGAAAAAGTATGCCGATGGAACCCTGAAGAACGCCTTCCATGATGCCGCCGATAAGCACGGACTCTCCTTGCTGCATCGATACTGGATTGCCGGGTTGATCAAACATGGAAAATCGTTGTGTGCGTTTTACTGTCCCACCTACAACTGCTACAAACGCATCCACAAGTTCATGGCTCCGGATAAAATTGATTGGGGAGTGGATGACAGGACTGCAGCCTTTAGAGCTAAGAGTTCCTCCCATGCTGCAACTTATTGTGAAAATCGTATTCCCTCCGGCGCTTCCAATCCATATTTGGTCGTCGCTGCAACCATCATAGCCGGCCTGGATGGAATCATCAATCGACTGGACGTCCAACCAGCGAGAACCGACAGGATCGACCCGGCCACTACAGCTACTGTCGGTAAGAGGAGAGACTCGGTGAAGGACAACGTCTTTCCCTACAGCCTATCAGAAGCCTTGGATGAATTGGAGAATGATGACATAATGAGGGAGTGTTTGGGCGAAGAGTTCATTCGCTGGTTCGTACAAATGAAGAGGGAGGGAGAGATTGAAACGCTTGACAATCTGTCGGAAGAAGAACAATGGCAGAAAGAAAGAGAACTTTATTTTGAATTTATCTAATTCGAATATAGAACTAAAACTATTGTGTTGAGTCATTAAATTGATTTCATTTTACTTGCTTATCTGCTGATGTTACTCGCAATTTCTATTTTGTTTTTCATTCTCAACTCATATTCATTCGTACTATAATAATAGTTAACAGTGCAACCGATTGAAATGTTATGTACTGAACACGTGACACAAACATCAACTGTATGCTGAACATGCATTCACTATTACCTATATTTTTCTTTAAAACAATGATTCCATAAAGAGTTTAGTTAGCATTAATAGAAAGATTAGCATTACAGAAATATTTACACGATATATTCGTAGATTGGTAGCGTAAACTCATCCCAATACAGGTTTTGGGATAAGTTTACATAATAAATAACATGACCTATATATTCGCACGAAGATTATTAGTTCATATTTACATATTTTTTAGTTCGTATTAACATGTTTTCAATGATATATTATATTCTTCTATGTTTATAATCGAACCTATTTTACTGTTTGTCTCTTTGATTACAATTCAATATAATTTTGGATTCACTAAAACTTGAATATTTCATCCTAAACACACACCGCACGCAGGCACGCAAACACACACGCACAAAGACGTTATGTTATTCAGTATGAAATTTAAAGTTAAATAAACGTCTGGCTTTGTTAATTGATAAATTTAATATTTGCTTCAAATCTTCGAGTTTATAATTCAAACAAAAAAACGTTTCATCTGCTCGTGAAGCTTTATTACTTTACTTCAAGGGGGTTGGGGTAGGAAAATGCAGGTATGCGTCCCCTCCAAAAACTACGATATGTAAAAAAAATCATAAAAACATTTTTTTAACAACAATCTCTTCAGTATTTTCTAGAGGTATCAACAACAAACACACAGCTAGGTACATTGTAAACATTTTTTTGAAATTTCAACTAATTTTTGAAAAATCCCCCCTCGAGAAACTTGAACATTTTGGCCATCCCCGTCAATGTTGTCTAGATCTGGTACCGGTTAGGTAGGTTATACCGCCATACACAGTTCTTTGGATGACCAAAACTTTCAAAGTTCACCAAAATGTTAAATGTTTTCCCATTGACTATTTAGGAAATGATGCAAAGAGCGTCAAACGGTCAGAATTCAGATGTGGTTATTCTGAGTTATTGAAAATTAGGTACCTTCACTAATTAATCAACCAATTAAGAAATAAATTACTATACTAATAAATTAATTTACCTAATTGTCAATCATAAAAAAACTAACTTCTATCTGCATTAATTAACAATAAGATGATTGCTACTTAAATGATAAAAAAAAAGATTTTTGCCGATCGTTCTATTACTTGAAGCTTGAACCTTTTGATAAAAATTGATAAACCTAATAAATATATCCATATTCATTATTATTTGTGCCAATTATTATTGATATGTTTACAAATTCTAAATAAGACATCGAAAATGCTGTAATATGTATAAATATTGCAGCATACAATGTAGATGAATATTTGCCGTGTATAAAGTAACGTGCCAAAGTCCGAACTACTTGACGATAAAATATGTAAAAATACAATTACATTTTGAAGAGGTCACCTTTATATATATATATATATATATATATATATATATATATATATATATATATATATATATATATATATATTAATATGTGGAACCATACACTCTCATTTTTAACTTAATTACTCAGTGTTTCACATTTACATAATTTTTATCTTTAAAATCCTTAACTCGAAGGCACGTATAATAAACACTTATAAGATAAACAACAATGCATACATAAACTTACTTTGCATGGTAGATAAACGTAGAAATGTATAGAGATATATAGAGCAAAAAGTAGAATATAAGAGCGACGATGACAGAAAACATCACACTGGATCCGAATTTGCCAGGGAATGATATCCGAAAGATTCTAACATAACCCAAAATCCTTGTTCCTCTTGTAAAGAAGTGGACCACCATCATCTCGATGAAAAGTGTTCTGTGCTGTGACAAGCTAACGTACTCCAAGCTGAAATTCCTCGTCGGAGATTTTAAATATTTCATTTTTATCACAAAACTTTTAAGAAATGCTAGAGCAGGGATTCGATATTAAGGAACTGCACGAGGTTGAAAAGAAGATTGGCAAAAAATTCGACTATATGAGGTTTTCTTTCGCCGATTTCAATGGAATCGCAAGGGGTGTGTCTATGCCGAGGAGGCAAGCTGTGAAGGCCCTGAAAAGTGGTTTCTCGCTTTTTCTCGGTTAGAATTTAAAAAAAATTTGAAATTAATAATTTAACTACAGATAAAATAATTTTATATTTTGAACACTTTATTTATAAAAGCATTTTTTGTTAAAGGAAACATCACCTTAGGTCCGCGAGGCGAACCAAGCTCCAGCAAAGAAATTGTGGATTTGAGGTTTCCCAACTGCAACTTCATCCCCTCTCCTGCAACTCTCACCCATCTCGCGTGGGCTGGCAGGAAGAAGGATTTTCTTTCAGGTGGGTTCTTGAAAATTTTTTGAAATAATATAATCATCTAAATATTTTCATAATTTTTTGCTGTCGATTTCATATCACCCAAAACATTAAAACATTAGAATTTATTACACATTCAGAAACCGACCAGCGAGTAGTCGGTCAAGTATTATGCGAGTCAGCGTGGACGGCCCCATTCAGAAACGGATCAGCAATCGACTCGTTACCTCGTTTCATTCTCAGGCGCCAACTCGACCGACTTGAAAAATTAGGTTACATTTTCAAATCTGCGTTCGAAGTTGAGTTCACCCTTTACGACGAAAAGACAGGTCTCCCTGTTTTTAATGGTCTTGATGCTGTGACGACTTTAGTTCTCGCAAAGTTTGAAGATTATCTGTATACATTGGAGGAAAATTTGAAGATGGCTGGCGTTGAAGTTACAAGCATGTTAGTGGAGCATGGTTTGGGGCAGTTCGAATTGACGTTGGAGCCGTTGGATGGTGTGAAATCAGCGGACGCTCTCTTCATCTGCAAGCAAGCAATCAAGGAAATCAGCATTCAGAGAGGTTACGTGGCGAGTTTCATGTCGAAACCGAGCAAGTACGCCTCAGCGAACGGACTGCATCTGAACATGTCGTTGTGGAAGAAAGAGGAAGATGGAAAACTTGTCAATGCTTTCTACGACGATAACGATCAATACGGCTTATCGAAAGTCCACCGCTCCTGGATAGCCGGATTAATCAAACACGGAAAGTCCCTCAGCGCTCTTCATTCACCGACCTACAACTGTTACAGAAGGTTCCACAAATTTTTAGCTCCGGACGTAATAACGTGGGGTATCGACGATCGAACGGTTCCATTCAGAGCGAAGAGTTGCAGTCCATCAGCAACCTACTGTGAATGTCGTATGCCATCGGGGGCTTCCAATCCCTACTTGGTGGTTGCCAGTGCGATCGCAGCTGGAATGGATGGCATCATAAACGAGTTGGAGCTGCCGGAACGAGCCACAAACGTCATGCTTTCGATCGATGCCACCCCCGAGGGCGGCAGGCAGGCTGATACAGAGAGTGTGAAATATTTTCCGTACAGTTTGGCAGAAGCTCTGAAAGAATTGGAGAGAGATGATCTGATGAGGAACTCCTTAGGTGAGGAGTTCGTTCGCTGGTTCGTGCAACTGAAGTATGAAACTGAGATTAACGTTCTCAGCCCGTTGAACGATGAAGATAAATGGATAAAAGAGAAAGAATTATACTTTGAATTTATTTAAATTTATGAAGACACACATGCAAAATATGAACCCTAGTTTGATCATTTCAATGAAAGTTTCATATCATGTTTTATATATTTCACATTCCCTATCAATTAATTGTGTTCTTTGTTAAATAAATTTTTTTAAAACTACCCGTCTATTCATTTCAATTAAAACTTTGAACAAAACGTTACAAATTAAGAAAAATGACTGAAAAATTAAATATTTAACCAGTAGCATATATATAGAAAATATCATATATAATATTTATTACATAGAACATACTCTATAGCCTATATATGACCAGGAGCAATATTTACAATGGTGTTTATATTAAGAGGAAAAAATTAAAATAAACAACATGAAACGTATCAATAACACAACATTAACAACCTCAAAAACGGCAACAAAATCAGAAGAAAACATTAAAAAGTTTTTTCTAACATCATTTAGGACATTAATAACATTTGTTGAATAGCATTGACAACATCTATTGGCGTAGCTAACCTAATTATACCATCAGAGGAGGGCTTCAACTTCAGAGCTTCAATGGAAGCATTCTTTAATTTGAACGCACAACATGTTGTCCCATCCTAAGACCCTGGTTTAATATCGTTTTCTTATTCTCACTTTTTTTTAAACTCGTATTTTTCACTCTTATGCTAAATCTGCGTTTACTTTTTCTGACCCTTTCACCTGGAACTCTCTACCTTCTTCTCTGACTACTTCTCCATCACTTACGAAGTTTAAAGCGGATCTCAAGACCCATCTGCTTATAAAATTTATTGAGGATAAAGAATATACATATTATTTATTCTACATATATTCATGGTATATAATATATATGATATATATATATATATATATATATATATATATATATATATATATATATATACACATATATATGTATGATGGCAGGATACCACGCATGGTATTAAAACTTTTGCCTTTTTTGATGATCCTTCTCTTCTCCTTCTTGTTACTTCGTTAGTCTTATCTAGGATTGATTATTGTAACTCGCTCTACTATGGTCTTCCTGACTCTATACTCTATCCTTTAAGTAAAGCTTTTAACTCTGCTGCTCGTCTAGTTGCTCGTGCCCCTTTCTTTTTTCATATATCTCCATATCTTGTTCTCTTGCACTGGCTACCTATAAAATATATAATAATTTTTAAAATTTGCACGTTTATGTATAAGTCTCAATCTAAATTATTTCCTAAGTACTTATCAGATATATTAATTGAACCCAAACACCCGGGTTTACGATCGTCTTCTTCTTCTCGCTTTTTCTTAACTCGTGTTAAACACACTTTTGCCAAATCTGCTTTTGCTTTTTCTGGTCCTTTTCTCTGGAACTCTCTACCTACTTCTCTGACTACTTCTCCATCACTTGCAAAGTTCAGAGCGGATCTCAAGACCCATCTGTTTTAAAAATTCATTGAGGAGAGCTGTTGAACATCACGGAAATAGCGCTTTATAAGCTAATTGATTCATTGATTGATTGGTTGATTGATATATCCATGGTACCACGGTACCACGAGTGCGGTAGTTAGTAAGTGATAATAACTGTTCTTTGTTTTTGTTGTGGGTATTAGCTTTCAGATCTTTGATTTTTCCAAAACTTAGTATTGTAGTTTATTTTGACAAATCTTATATTTTCATCTTATCGAAATTTTGAAATAAATTAATAATTCGAATGGAAATGGCGAATTTGGAGCCATTTTTGACGTTTTGTTCTTTGAACGGAACTTCCAAGGTGGACATTTCCGATCCCAATCCAGGGAGCGATTTATCCGGAAATATCGACGACGACCCTAACCTTCTCCAAACGAGTTCCTCTGACATTCACAATCAACAAGCCACGATCAAATTGAAAGGGGCCGAACAATTGTCAGTGTTGAATTCTAATTTTGGTTCCAAATTGAACGAAGTAGGAGATGGTGACAAAATTGAGCTGAAAAATATTTCCACTGCTGCTGACACTTTGAGTTTGGTCAGCAGTCTAAATAACGTTGATGACATTGACCAACAGCCCACGCTAACTACACTAAATAATGCAATTTTAACAAACGTGCCTTCAGAAAATTTCATGCAGCAGCAACAGCAGCTGGAAGATGATGAGATTAACAAAGTAGACATTGGTAGCTGCAACTTGTCACCAACAATTATAACGTCACCAATACAACAAAATAATGACTGTACAAAGATGGCGATACCAATCCCTATCAATGTCAATCAGTCACCATTATTTGCATCCACAAATCAAATTCAGTTGGCCATCACTGGGACGTCTGATCAGTTTGGCTCAGCACCTTTAGGTTCTAGTCAGAATCCAATTAGAATAATTCAACAGGGGAATCAGTTTGTTCCTTTGCAAAACTTGACCCAAGAACAACTTGCTCAGGTAGTTCAGATTGTTCAACAACAACAGCAGCAGCAACAACAGTGCAACAACATTCAGACAAATTCAACCATACAAGGACAGAACAAAGTCACGTATAAAATTGTGTATCCAAATCAAGGCATTAACAATAATGTATCTAATCATAGCATCATCAACAACAACAATAACCAAGGAACAATAAAAGTCAAAAAATCATCTGAAACTATCGCAAATGTACTTTCAAATCGGTTCTTAATGTCAGGTAGTAACAGCAGTAGCCACCTCTCTCACCATCCTAAAAAAAAAGCCATCAGCACAGAGGCTGCAGATGCTCTGATGAGGTTAAACAAAGAGCAGAAGAAAAAACACCGGCCTAGAACTAGGTCGGGCCGTGTGTCAAAACCTCCCCAATATATGGTGAAAGATTACAAACACATTCACCCCGTTGATTATGACGAGGATTACGACGACTCAGATGGCGGTTATTCTGATTTTAAACTGAGCAGCGGGGAAGAGAATGATGAGAGAAAGAAGGAGTGCAAGAAGTCTTCATATTACAAGGATTCTCATTTGTCATTATGTAATTTGTTTGTTTGTTTGTTTGTGTGTTTGTTTGTATGTATGTTTGTTTGTATGTTTGTTTGTTACTACATTGGTTGATATCTGTGTTTAAAAGAATATTTGCTTATAAATTATAAATATCAAATGAATGAACATGGACCAAAAAATTGTTTTTCTTTAAAACTTCTTTAATAGTATAAAATTTATATTCCAATCTTTCTTACCTTTAAACAATACTTTAAAAAGTAAATAATTTCTTGAATTTCTCACTTTGTAAACTTTGTATTTCAAATTGCTTAAAATTAGTGTCATCGAAATCGAAAAGATTTAAATGTGATTACTGCGAGAAGTCATACATTGGCAAGGGTGGCCTCAACAGGCACTACAAGCTGAACCCGACTCACGGAAAGCCCGATGACGATGGTAAATAGGGATGGGTGGTTTTATTTGTTATTTTTTTTAAGATAATACTCACTCAAGATAGTTTTCTTTAATAGCATAACTGGTTGGTTAGATTTGCAATCTTTGTAGCTGTGTATTTTATCAGTTATACATTCTGAGTTACTATTGTTAATAGTATTAACATTTAGTATTGTTTCTACTTCTTTTTAATTCTTAGAATTAGAAATAAGTTTCTTTTTTAAAAAATTTTGAAATGAGATTAATGATATATTAAAGAAAAAAAATTCATTGAAAAATAAAATGAAACAGCATTAAGTAGAAAGAATAAACTAATAAAACAAGCAAGTAACTTTCTTAATCTTAAGGCAAGCTATAGAAGGATAAAATGTAGTTGATGGCTTACTGTAAATAACTTTTTCATAGGCCCGCTAGACATGGGCGACTCGTACTACAGCAGTGATAGCTTACAGAGTGGCGTTGGCATGGCTAACACCAGCGACTCCATCACAAACTTTCCGTCATCATTCGAACATCACCACCAAAAATCATCATCGAAAGATACAAACCAAAACAACAACAACGATGATGATGTCACGCTTTCTCTTGAAGTTGACACGAATGCTGGCGACTACAAACAGCATGGTGTCGATGGGTACCCTGAAGGGTCGTCTAGGAAAGGTCGGAGAGGTCGAATGTCGAATTTAGGGGGTGGGACTGGATTGGGGGGTTCAAATGGTTTGAGTTCTGCTGAGAAGAAAAAGTTACGACTCATTGAGGTTTGGCTTTGTTTTATGATGTTTTTTTTCTTTGTTTGTTTGTTCCTTGTTTGTGTAATATAATCACTCACTTTGATTTATCAGCATTCAGATTGGGCAGTATGTTTCTTTTACTCAATTTTTGGATTTGTTTAACTATTGTAAAATAGTGCTTGCTTGCTTAAAATATTTTCAACTTTTCAGTTTTATTTATACAAATTTTATTTCATGATTATGTTCGAAATTCATTTTTTTAAAATTATTTCCACATCACTAGGTGGCCAAACTATGTACAGATGAAGACATCTTGGATTTATTCATCCAGAGATGTTCCTCCACCATCTCCCTCTGGAAAATTTTGATGTCAAAAACGACGAAACTCTATGACTCGAGTATTGACAGTTTGATATCAGAAGTTAGCAACCTCAATGAGCAAGTTAGCACGTACTTGAATGAAAAGCTGGTGCCATTTTGTGAGGAGGAAGACGTGGAAGATGATGAGGATGAGGAGCAAGAAGAGGGGAGAGATGGTGATGAGATGAGAGAGAGTAGGAGGATTGTTCATAGTCATGGAACGAAAAATGTTTTTGAAGTCAGTGCTGCTGGTTTATTCTGTCTATCTATTTTTAGTTTTTTAGATTTTTAAAAATCCACTATTTTTGAAAGCGTCTATGATTTTTTTTGATACAGTGACATGAACATTCGACATGCATTTATTGTGTTTAAGTTGCTAAACTGCTCTATAGATTGTCAATGTACTCACTCAACAACTACACTGTTACATGTGTGTTTAGACATTGTTTTATGCATGGTCTTTTCATGTCTTAGTGCATTCATGTGTTAATTGAACTGAAGGGAGATATTGTTGTTGTACATCTTCAACGTTTCAGTTACCTTTGACTAATTATAATCTTTTAATTTTAACTTTTCAAAAGATGGTGGATGAAAAAATGGCCGCCTGCCTGAACGTTCCGATAGGAAAGTACATAGTGAAAGTGGATGAGTTTTTTGAGGGCTCTGTGCAAGCAGAAGAACCAATCAACTACCAGGACGAGCAGCACAGCAGCGACAACAACAACATGGAATCATGTGCAACAACAATATCTTCCTCCAGTTCATCCCTATCTACGACGACAAAGTTTCGTTTTGCCGCAAGCGACGATAACAACGACAATAATGCATCGACTCGTAAGGAAAGTGTTTATCGTTCGAAAAAATCTAGAGCCCGAGATTCCGACATTCCAATATCACTGCCACTTAGAAAGAGGTTGAAATTATCAGAGCTGAGCCAAGATGGCGATGAGTACTTACTGAGTAGTGTCAAAAATCAGAGAAAAATTGTCAGATTTGATAACGATGATGAGGAGGAGGAGGGGGAAGAGGATGAAGATGAGAGTGGTGATGGTAGAAATATTGCAGTGGCATCTTCGTCATTGTTGACGGAGCCTACTGATGCTGCCAACATTAATGCTTCTGATGACAATAACGGCGACTCTGTTGCTGTCACTGATGACGCTAACAAAGCATTAGTAGCTGATAACAACTATGATGATGTCACTAATGATGGCTCTGAATTTATGGTAAGAAAAGAAGAAACCACTCCTACTAAATTCATCAACATACAGCCAATGAATGATCCCTCATATGGCATTGGTGATGGCTTGGATGTAAAAAATGAAAACGACAGTGTTCTTATGTCAGCCCTAAATTCTGAATTATCATCAATCTCGTCAGCAGATTTGACTACAGCTACTGCAGCTGCAACAACAGCTACAGCAGCTGTTACCTTAGCCAATGCAACTGCAAATGCAGTTAATGAAGATGAGGTGACTCAAGGTACATCAACAACTTCTGCTGCTACTACCTCTAATGATACTGCTTTTACTACACATAATAGTGATGATGTCCTAGCAGCAGTTTCAACTTCCTCTGGTCAGATTGATGGGAAACAACTGGCTACTACCACTGAAAATTATTCAAGTATTTTGCAAGGTGAACCATCAGCAGCATCTGTAGCGACGACGACAGCAACAACAACCACGTCTCTGAATGAAAATCTCACAGGTACTTTCGATCACAAAATCGTTACTTCGTTGTTGCAGCAATTGAACCAGCAACAATTGCTGCAACAACGTCAACAACTACAACAGCAACAGCAACTACAACAGCAGCAACAACAGCAGCAGGCTCAGCAAGTTCTGACAAGTTGTGATTACTTTACAAGCGCAATCTTCCAGGGTGAATCTTCGTCCAATGTTGCCATTATGAATAATAACAACACTCAACTATTAGCTGTCTCGCCTTTCACGAACGTCTCAGAAATCCAAAGCCATTTTCAACAACAGCAGCAACAACAACTGCAGCAACAAATCCAACAACAAATTTTACAACAGCAACAACAAAAGCAATTAGAACAACAACTTTTAATGCAACAACACTTACAACAGCAACTATTGCAGCAGCAACAACAACAGCAGCAGCAGCAAATTTTACAGCAACAACAATTACAGCAACAACAACAACAACCTCAACAAATCTGCGTCACTTGCTATCCACAGCAAGACTACATACAATTGCAAGAAAATGCACAGTACGTGCAGACAGAAGATGGCATGGTTGTGGTTAAAAATGTTGACGGTTCTTACCAAATTTACGGCACAATAACCCAAAATATAACAATAGAACTGTTAGAAACCCTTTTTAACGCTAACAACAATAACGCTAACATCGCTAACAGTAATCTCAGTACAAATAACAGTACACTGAATAATCTTGTTAACAATATTTAATCTTCAGTGTGTGTGAGGATTGAACTGTTATTATTATATTTTTATGCGTCAGTTTTATTTTCGTCTTTTTTTTGGAACTGGAAAAAAATTATCGTCATTTGTTATATAAACGACATCATATGTTATATAATTATTGTATATTTGTGTGCGTATGTCTGTGCGTTTACGCGTCTGTCTGTTTGTCCGCTTGTGAGTTTTTTTATTTTTAAATTACCTTTTAAATAACTTTATTAATGAACAGAACATTCTCTATTTATATGTACGTACGTGCGTAAATATATATGCATAGATATGAATTTTTTCGTAATTTATTCAACTAATTATAATAGCAAGATATCATTAATCGATGTTTCTTGTTCATCTTTTTAGTTTTTTTTTTTGTCGCGTCCATTTATACGGCGCAAACTTACTTCGAGATCCTAACCAGCTCTATTGAAGCATATTAAGTCATTACCTGTATATGTCATAGACATAGAAACTTGTATAGAGTTTCAATATCTACCGTATATATATATATATATATATATATATATATATATATATATATATATATATATATATGGTATTGTATACTATATATATATATGTAGTATTGTGTGAATTCTACCGAATTGCTGTTGGCATTGATCAATTTAAAGTTTGTCTTTTCAGTTTTGCTTACTAGAATTTCCTGGAAATTCTTCAGTTTAATGAATTCAATAACGAATTCAATTCAATAAATTGAACAAAATTCTAGTAAGGAAAATCGAAAAGACAAACTTTGAATTGATTAATGCCAACAATTCGGTAGAATTCATACAATACTGTGTAAAATATTGCCTCTTTTAAACATATATATATATATGTATGTATGTATATTTACAATATATATGAATATATAATGGGCCATATTATTGTTTTAATGCAAAAATATAATGCTTAATTTTTTTTCCTCAATAATATCAACTTTTGTAATCTACCAAATTTTTTTATACGTGTTACCGAAATAACTGTTATATGTTTTTTCAAATATACATTTGAATTTAATGTTATATGTGCGTATATGAATGAAAAAATAAATATTCTGTGTGGATATATTTATTAATATATTCTTCATAAAACGCATAGTATCTTTAAATATACTGGTTATATTTTTGCTTTTAAGTTTTGATTGGCGAAAATTTTGAATTGAATGCATCGTTTGTTGAAAATGAATAGCGCCTAAAAGGAATAAAAAGGCGTCATTTGATTGTATAAGTGTAATTTTCATATATGTTTGTGTTTTTCTCTTGATTATTTATTTTTTCCCCTGTTATAAGAATAAAAGTTTTGATAAATCAGGCGATCCGAGTCTCTGGTCCCGTCAGATGTCGAAGGACAATTGGTTCTTGTCAAATTTGTTTGTCGGTATTTACGCAGGGACATCACTGGTTTTGGTACCGAAAATGCGCCGGTTTCGAAAATAAATAACACAATTAAAGTATCGAAAAATAAATCATTAGTCGAAAAAATAGCGCTCTAATTTTTTTATTCGTTCGGTTTGAAATTTGATCGCAAATTTTTATATTTTTGTCAATAAATTTTTAATTTTTAGCTCTGAAAACGTGTTTTAACTTGCTGGCGCCACACTCAGTGACTGCATTTTTGGTTTCTATGGTTGCCTGCTTGTGCTGTGCCACTGGGAGCTCACTTGTGTGTCATTTTGAGTTTATTTTATTTTCGTAAATTTAATTTAAAAAATAGTTGCAAAATTAGTGATAGCTTAATCATTTGGTTATTTATCTGAATGCTGCTGGCTCACGATTCAAAGACTTGAATTTTCGTTTTTGTGTGCTGCTCAGTCAACTAATCAAGCAAGGTTTGTTTTTTAATTTTTAAAATTTAAAAGTTAAATTAAATGTATGTGAATTTTTCTGTTCTATTTCAGATATATTTTCTAATACTCCTACTTTAATTAAAATTATAGATTATATTTCCGTTTGAAAACAATTTAATTGAAGTTGTCACTAAAGAAAGATTAATAATAAGTAAAAATTAATAATCTTTATTAGAAATTAGATTAAATTAGGAATTCTAATTTATTAAAAAAAAAGTTAGTTGATTAAATTTTCTTTTTAAAATTTTTAGATTTTGTTACTTCTTTACTAAATAACAAAGATGAATAAAATTATATAAAATAGATAAAGATAAACTTTTCACTTTGAAGAGCATTCCTTAAATTAAATCTAACAGACAAGAAAATAAGAAAAAAACTTGAAACACCACCATCACTGTCGTCAAAATCCAGAATTTATGGCATCACCAACATCTCAACCCGGAAGTATAAACTTTGATGCACAAAACATAAACCTGAACCTGGATGATAGAGAGGAAGAATATGAAGAAGAAGATAGGAGGAGAGAGAATGAGGTAGTACGGTGAATCATATGGGAATTGGTGATAAATTATGAATGGATGTTTGGTGAATTAGTGGTGAATTAATAGATTGTTACTGAATTTTTGGTCAATTGTTACAATTGTAAGGTTTTAGCTAGGAAATTATTAGTGATGAATTCTGGTAACTAGTGAATTAGAGGTGAATTATGGATAAATTTTTAATGAATTTCTGGTCAGTTATAAATATATGGTGGTCTTCTAATGAAATATTGTTGAATTGGTGATGTATCAAAATAAAATGTATGAATTATGTCAATTAGTTAATCAATCAATTAATTATCATAATTTATTCAAGTTGCAAAACCTCATCACTGATTCGTTCGACGATGTGCTAGAGGATTCAGAAGAAGACGGTGATGACGACGACGACGACGCTGAAGATTATGAAATTAGTTCTCATCATGATAATAATCTCTCCGCCACTCAAAATAGCATCCTTATTACAAGCAACAACGAAAGTATCAACAACAACAACAACAACCACATTGACATCAGTAGCAAGTTCTTTCCTAGCATCAACAAACTTCAAAACTTCTCACAGCAACAACAACAGCAGTACTTACAACTACAACAACAACAACTGCAATATCCAATGCAACAACAGCAACAACAGCAACTGCAATATCCAATGCAACAACAACAGCAACAACAACCACATAAGTTTTTATACGGTTACCAGAACAACAACAATGTTGATGATGATGATAAAGACGATGACGACGATGATAATGATGACAATCGTAACGATCATCATCATCGTCATCATCAGGATGTTTTTCATGATGATGATGATGATGATGATGATGATGATGGTGGTGGAGGTAGTGGTGCTGATAATGATGATGGTGAAAACCAAAACAACAACATCATCGACTACACAGGTAACACTACCGTTGTTGATAATAATATCAACAACAATAGTTA